TTGTTTCCACGGATGAAGAGAAGTCTGAAAGGAAAGCGATTCCGTGATGTGGATGAAGTCAAAGAAAACACGCTAAAGGCTTTGAACAGTATCCAGCCTCAAGAATTCCAGCACTGTTTTGAGCAGTGGCAAAAGCGTTGGGACAAGTGCATTAATGCACATGGACAATACTTTGAAGGGGACTAATATACCGTTCAATAAAAATGCAAAAATAAAAAATAACAAAAATAAATTCCGGTTATTTTTGGGTCCCCCCTCATATGGAGAAACTGATATACAGAACATGAGGCAAGGGTTGAAACCAGCCTATGACGCATGGTAATGAAGTCATATAACTTGAATGTGCAAGATGCCACTCATAGCTCAGTCTGACTGCACCTCTCCCCCACACTCTCCACTGCACAGCCAGTTTTATGACTAACTTCACAGACTGCACAAGCTTACACTGTGCACAGACATTCGAAGATTATAAGTAATGTGGCATATAGACCTGTTGCTAAGCTGTAATTCTGTAAAAAGCATCGCTGTTTCTGGACGACCCAGTAAACACATTCCCACAGCAATGGACATGAATGCAACAACAGAATGGTGTATTCTATGTGGTCTGTGGCGAAATGTTATTAGCAGGGACAAAGTTAGTTGACAGTTCAGTTCTGTACAGGAGGCTGTGAAGAAAAAAGCTAGTTGCAACAGTGCTCAGTTGAAAGTCTGGCTGTGAAGAGAGGACTTTGTGTGTGTAATTCAGTGAGACTGTTGTAGTTCCTGTGTTAAAATCTGTTGCCAGGAAACGGCTAGTTAAGACTGTAATAGATTGAGGACATTGGTCTGTGTGTGTCATTATCTGTAAAGTGTAATCACAAGTCATGAGTGTATAAATGGGCAATAAATCACATTACCAATCCAACCCCGTCTATAGTCACACAAATATGTGACAGTATATTAATGCTAATGCTTCCATCATAGCAATTTTTTTGTGGTGGTTCATTTACAAAGCAAGTAGGAATGAGTATGCAGCAAAATTACTACATATATTCATATTCCACAAGTGTGTGAAAAACATATTAACTTCTATTTCCAGAAAGCAACAATTTATTTTCAAAAACATCATCAATGAAGCAGGTGGCTCTGCTTGCCATACACTTCATCCTGGCTTCTTCCTTGGCTTATTCTTCAACCCTGAAGATGGATGCAACATGTTACTGCAAAACGTCAGTTGAGTTTCAACGGACTACTCAATGTTCGTATATCTCAGAATACAGAACTCTTTGTAACCACTGTTCTGAGAACCTGAAAATCCTACATAATGAATTGAAAGCTTGTATCTCATGAGTCGGAGGAGAAGGGAAGGAACAGGAAGATGACAGTGGAAAAAGTGAATCTCCAGCAACATTTTTGTCAGCACTTAAGAGCACTGACACTGTATGGAAATACCACGAGAAGGTACATGTCAATAATAACATGATGGCTGCCCCTCAGTAATGGACATGAGGTAGAAGTGAACTAGATTATATTTTCAATGTCATACAGTATTAATTTACAGCATTTAAAAAGCTACATAAATTTTCCATTTTCTTGATTTTAAATTCTTTTCAAATGGTTCCTTTAAAAATGTGAAATCCAGGTTTCATTGTATTGTTATGATGCTATCACAGCTAAAGCTGTTCCACTACAAATGTGATGTTTCGTTCTGAACAGTCAATCAATGCCACCATATTGTATATTTCTACTTTTGAAATTCACATACCTCAGTACACATATCAGATTAGAAATAATCATCCACTCACAGCAACTGCAAAATCCAACTTACCATATCATACTTAGGACCTAGATCAGTGGTCACCAAAACGTTCCAGACAGAGGTCACAAACTGGGGCAGATAAGACTGAAACTCTTCATCATACTTCTGTGCATACAGTGCAATATTATCACAGACTTGTGATTTCAACTGCTCCATTACTCCCGGTTCATCATCATCATCCTTAAAGAAACATAAATTCCTTTACAGTGACTCAGTGACAGAAGAAGCTCGAACTGAGTCAGTTGTGTACAATTTACTGTGCTCTCAGATGTGTGTAAAAGGAGACTAATAATATAAAAAGACATTACTTTTTGTCACATCCACAAATAACAGTGCCAAAACAACAGGACAAGTTTTTCATTGAACTCATCATAATGGATTTACTCTAAATCTTGCCACGTCATTTTAATTTTGGTTTAGTTTAGTCCATTTTAAGGGCCACTTCACACAAAGGACTGAAATAATTTTCATGTCCGTTAATGGGTTGGGATGAAACTTGACACATGAGAATGCAAGTACATTTATTTGTCTAGTATCATGTGAAATTATTAGCAACCATGAACGATTTATTTAAATATCTTACAGAAAGTTAAAGTATTAAGTTATTTATGAAACAGAACACTGTTACATAACTACCAGTATTACCCCATGTAACTTTCATTCGCTTTAATTAAATTGTGACCCACATTAATTAAAGATATATCTTACTAGGTATTCACATAACAGGTCTTTTTTGTGGTTCATTTTACAATGCTTGATGGACAGATGTCCCGAATGAAAGTTATAGGTGTCCATAAAGTACATGTCATATCTTACACAATAACTGCAAATCTCAGTGACTGCAAAAATTGCCTGTATAATAATAATATCCATTATATGAGTTCCACTGGATGTGTTGTCCAAATTTTTGTGGTTGTCCTACCATCTGCCTGATATCCACTAGATTTACAATACAATGCACGTAACTAGACACCACACAGGTATGATGCAAAATAAAAACACATTTTTAAAACCACCCTGCATTCTTATCTTGACTCAATGTGCCTTATATACTGAAAATGCAAACTAAAACAACCAGGCTAAGGGATAATCATCACTTAACTGCCAATGGCCAGTGCAAGACACATATGGTCACACATAAATAAGGAAATCCATGTACTATGTAAGAATTTTAGCAAATATGATCCCTTTCTGGTCAGACATGACACTTACATGAAGAATTTAATGGGCAAAACAAAAAACATGCTCCATTTTTCTCTCCAATATCTATCACAAACATTTTTGATGTGAGTAGAAATAATTGTGGATTTCCATGTAAAGTATCCATTACTCTCTTATTCAATTTCAACCAAAATAGGAATGTGAAGCCAAATTTTAGAAGAACTCCCAAATATCAAATCTGATGAAAATCCATTCAGCATTATGTTCTTACATGTGGGTGATTAGATACAAAAAGCTGAAAGGTGCATTTTAGCAAAATTTCTTCAAGAACAGCCCCAAATCTGTGAGCTTTGGCATTCTGTTATAGCAATGACATATTCTTTAGCATTAGAACAAATGCAGGTACTGTAATGTCAAGGACTACATTCTTCTGGGATTTGGTATAGTCTTCTATCAAAGTATATGCTGACACGCCTCAGAAGACTGCAACTGTTAGAACGTATTAACACACTGATGCCACGAAGTGTTATAAAACAATATACATAAATACTATGTCTCACTGCTGTAGTCATAATACTTTTGATGCACTTCATTTCTCAATTTTTCTGTATTAATACAGACAATCATTAGGGTTACCATTTGCTGTACAGTATTATAGATACAGTGCAAATGTTTCTGGTTTTCTTTTTAAGTAATATATGGAGCTGAACTACTAGAAATTTAATTCTAGAAGCAGTTCTATCTTTGCAAAATGACTGGGCTACAGGAATTCTGCAAGATTCATTTACCTGGGTTCTAATGTGTTAAGTGTACGGCTTTAGAAAAATAACTTACACTGGTCTGAAGACACTTCACATCTGCTGTCAGCAGGCTGTGGAAATTCTCCATCCAAATTTTCATATTGTCTTCAAAGAATTCTGGCAAATCCTTCAAAGAGAGAAATGCATAAAATTATTCTACTGCTCTACTGCAATGTAAGGAAGAACATAATTATGAACTAATTGTTGAAATCATGAAAATCATCACAATTATAAACTCTGGTGTCTTCTTTTTGATCTCTCATTCTCATGATTTATGGGACTTAATGCTTTAATTGGTAATAAGTAATAAAATAACCATCTCACAAATATATTGTCATGTGTTTAATGACTAGACACAGGGTTTCTATTGGTTTTTCGATTTGTTGTACTAAGAGTCAGAGTTACTTCACAACTGACAGTACATTGCAGACTGTAAAAATGAATGCAAAGTATAAGTCTTTCTAAATAAGGTGGCATTCTATCTAGGCTTATCTTTCAAGGCATACAATTAACCACCACACAAACTTATGTTTGACTCAGTGGGAGGGAGCAGACGTAGACGTTGAGCATATTGCACTGGAGCATCAAGTGCCTAAGTTATACAATAATATTCAACTAAATAAACTCCATACATACCTAATACACAGAAAGAGCAGTGAATATTTGTACTGGGACAGGTCCTACTAATTATATACTTATGTCCATGAAAAGTGAAATCAGATCCAACCTAATTCACTATTTTCTCCACATTCTTATGTTTTTATGTTCAAACAAAATTTGTGCTTACAGTATGGATATCTTAACTGATTTCTGTAGATCATCTTATGGTGACCATTTACAGTCAAATCATGTATAAATAAGATCAGGAAAACGTTTTAACATAGTTTCTGTGACAGTTCATCTGAAACCTTGGTATATAATGTTTTGTTGTCCTAAGTAGAGCAATGCAATGTGCACGCAGGAAGCAACACTATGTTGCTTGACATGTCAGTGTTCACTGTGATACATGCTCACTTTCGAGATCAGTGGGCAGCATGAGGTTGGACCCATTTTATGTCCCCCAATAGTCTCACTTAACCCTGTCTTACATTTTCCTGTTGGATTATGAAGGACATTATGTATACCAAAAAATAATCTGTTGTGGGATTTGAGGTTTTCTTGGCAGTGACTACGAAGAATGCCATCTTATGGGATGTGGCACTGTGCAGATACTGTGTAAACCAATGATTCAGAGGAACATATTGCCTCCATTTTCAGCCACCTGATCACAGTGGTTCTTCGCTCACATATTTTTATTAAATACCCTGAAGATGGACGCGATACATTCCTCTGAAACATAGGTACACAATATCTACATGGCGCCACATCCCAGAAGACTGTATTCTTCAACAATCTGTAGTTTTGTTTTGTAGTACAGAATCACGATGGCAACTGAAACAGTGACACCTGAATTTCTGACAAGAGTGCAGACCAAGCTCAAACATCATCTTGATTTTTGCAACACTGTGAATGGAGCCAATGGTGCATGGTGCACTATAAATCTAAATGTAAGTACAAATATAAGAAAACTTAAAATAATTATAACCTGACAAATAAATAACACAAAATTCATATTTTCTATGCACTGTATGTAACATACTTGGAAACTAAACTCTGTTAAGACAGCGCCCATGAGTCAGCAGCTTGGAGATCTTAATAAAAACCATTAATGATAAAAGCTAGAATGTAGCATTAGGCAGTAATAGCTTGACACTTTAAGTATATCATTTAACGATAAATCAACTTCAAATTCTTACCTGAAAATTGAGGGAGTAGAATACTTTACAGATGATAAGAAGAGAATTATAAATTACTTTCAGTGCATCAGTGTTGTTTGCATGAACATTTGCTAAGGTCATTGTTACCTAAAAAAGTGATATATAATTAATGAATATTCTACGAACAAACAGATATTAGATATAAAGTATTAAAATCAAAGTTAATGTCAATATTATTGCATATTATTTACTTACTGCTTACCTGGAACAACTCTGTGAGAGGTTTAGCAAACTTATCCAGAACAAACTTAATTTCTGTCCAGAGTTCTTGAGATTTAAATTCAAAACGATATCGTTTGAAAATGGAATGAGCTGTGTGTAGAACACCATTGATAACATGGAAGTCACCTATTCAAGGAAAAGAAAATTCATGTAAGTTTGTTTTATGTACAGGATCTTTTTAAAAAAGATGCTCAAGTTGTAATTGGACATAATTACCTAACAACCCAGAAATCATCACTGTATTTGGTGTCTCTGAGTTCAAGAGTCTTGGGAGCCTGACAATCATGTACATACATCCATGACCATCTGAAGCTGAGGTCAGAAATCTGACACAAATGCAATTAAAGTTTTTTACTGACGTTGATCACTGTTGCCAGAATTTCTTCCTTCAATTGTTTGACTGTGTGTGGACTGTTTCTGTAAACTGTATCTTTCAAAGAGTCCCATAAGAAGTAACTTCATGGGTGAAGATCTGTAAGAGTATGGTGGCCAGAACCACCCATACTTCAACCATCCAAGAAAATGATTAGACAACATTCTGTTGTCAGAATATTCATTACATACACCCAACACTAGATTCACAGTGTGTGTTCAAGCCCCATGACACTAGATAAATGTTTCTCCAAAACTGGCACACTTGCCTTGGAGAAACAGAAGAAATTCTTCTTGGAAGACATGAGGATAACAATCAACAATGATAGTACAAAGTCCCCTACATACNTAGGGTTGTGAGACGTTGAGGGTCCCACATTATCTAGACAAATCGGCTTAGATGGCGGTAAGGTTGTCAGCCTTATGCACCGGCCGCGCTTTACTCGCCAAGAAAATTATTTAATTAATTCCTGGTACTCATTTCTGTTAGAGGCTGAGTAAACCCCAGGGCCATAGTGTGGCTGGAAGGATTAAGTTTAGTTATTTTGATTTCTTCAGTCATTAGTACTGGATATACATCCCTTATTTAATAAACACTCAATTACAAATTTTCACTATAATAAAGTGTGTTAATTTGTATATATTTTTCATTTAACGAACATAATTTTCGCTCCGAAGAACTTACATTCATACTTTTTCTCATACACTGACAATAACATACACATGTGTATGTACAGTTAAGACATATGGTATAAGATATTGGGGGATTTTCCTGGGACTTGTCAACGAGTCAGTGACTTTTACATGTAAAGTAATACAAATATAATTTTCAGTTTTCATGGAACAAATTATTATTGTACATCAAGGGCCACCTATGTTATAATATGGTATGCTATGATACATTTTTATTGTACATACATTTATGCTATATTTTGTGTGTACACTGCAATTGCTTGCCATACAATTTTAATCATTTCACATTCAACTGTTAGTTCAACTGCTGCTAAGTAGATAGTGGTACTAGTACAATGATGAACATCTGACACCTTCAACTCTGCTGTTTTTATCAGCCTCACAAAAGTTTTGCTGCATCTGAATTTTGTACTGTAACAGTTTCTCAATTATCTGCACGCTGATGATGCTGCAAAGTCAAGTTGTTGAGAGAAATGCTTAATGGATTTGCTGGGACTCTGTATCAATACCCGTTTTCTGGTGTTCTGACAGATTTCTTCTTAGTCACAACAACCTTCTTATTGCTGATCATGCTATCCATCATTTAAAACTTCTTAACCAATCTGTTTATTTCAGACTTGCTTAGGGCTTTCATGCACTAAGATTTCACTTAGAAATTATGCTGAATTGAGATTACACAAGCNAAGAAAGAGTTATATAAGGATAAGCACAAAAATACAAACAGTTGAAGAGTTCTATCTTCTGGGATATAACAGTGAATGTCAACTGGCATTTTGGAGGAACATTTTGCGTCCATCTTCATGGCTTAAGAGAAAGCAAAAAACCAGCATGAAGGAGGCAACACGTTCCTACAAAATGTTGGTTGACTCTCACTGGACTACATGGCATTATACCCCACAAGACTGAATTTTTCATAATAATTGCTGTGATAACATCAAATATTATAACAAGTTAGCAAAATAACAGTAATACCACAATACAGTAATCGGATTTCACTGTTTAAAAGTTCTCTGTGGAAATATTATAAACTGCATAAATACACAATACTGTATCTTACTGGGGCAAAACATTTTATTTAGGTGTTGTTATAGGGGCATTCTAAGACACAGGCCACTATATGTGGTGTGATCATATAAAACTTGCAACATGCATCACATGGGTGCAACACCTTGTAAAGTGAGGTTCTTGCATGTTGTGCCCTTTGTGATATATTTTATCAGAAAATGGCAGATTCCAAAGAACAGAGTGTGTGCATCAAGATCAGCTTCATAATAGGCTGAAATGCTTAAAAAATATAACATATTAGAAGTCTGAGGTATTGTGGCCATCAACCCAACCAAGTAATTTAATTTCAGTAAAATTTATTAAGACCAATAAAAATATCAATGGTATAATCAATTTTATTGTCTTATTCACCCTATATGTGACCTCATCGGGATTCGATCCCGTGACCTTCCGGCTTGTAGCACAGTGCCTCAACCAACTATGCTACTGCGCTGGAAGGTCACGGGTTCAAGTCCCGATGAGGTAATTGGATTTTCTTTAATTCACCTAATCCTTCCGGCCACACTATGGCTCTGGGGTCGACTCGGCCTCTAACAGAAATGAGTATCAGGAATTAATTAAATAATTTTCATGGGGAGTAACGCGCAGCCAGCGCATAAGGCTGACAACCTTACCGCCACCTTTCATCTGATTGTCTAGAAATGTGGGACCTTCAACGTCTCACAACCCTATGGGCCTTCGCAGCCTGTTACAGGGACAGCTTTCCTTTTTCTACCCTATATGCTTCTACCACATGGACCATCTTCAGGCAGTTTGTATATAAATAAATAAAACTCACTATTATTTCACTGCACAGTTAAATATTGATATTTTTATTGACTTTAACAGATTTTATTTAAACTAATTTATTTTGTTGTTGTGTGGAAGGCCCCAGTACCTTGATATTATAACATGACATGAAGCAAAAAAAGTTAAACATTGCTTTTGGAGAGGAAAAAATGAGAACTCAAACATCAATTTTTCCAAGTTCAAAAGTGATGAACATTCAGGACATTCATCTATAAGCAAAATGAATGAACACATGGCAACAATCAGGGAACTCGTTCATATAAACAGACACATCACTGTCTGTGGCTTGGTTAAGGAGGTGGGTGTCTCACTTGTGAAAATTTGTATCAAATATACAATAGATAGTGGACAATGTCCATCATAATACTGACAAGAAGGATACTATTCTCAACCACATAGGAAATTAAGAAATTTTGCAATTCAGAGAGAAACAATTAGAAGAAAAATGTCATGAATATAAAAATAACTGGATACAACACATACATCAAATGGAAGAATATAGGTTATCAAAATATATCACATATTACCATCCAAGAGAAAAAGAAAACACTTGGAAATTCACTTCAGTGCATAATACACAGTGCAAACCCTGAGGCCATCCTTAAAGGCCCTTAATCTTTAACAGCACGGGCGGAAAAAACTTTGAACTAACTGAAACTCTAAGTCATGAGAACGTGTAAAACCTAGTAAGCAAATTTATATTTCTACAGGATATTTAAAATTAACTGCAATGATATATAAGTACCAGTAGCAAATTTTTCGACCATCTGTGATATAAGATCTGGCCACTTGTTTGGGAAATCGTAACGACCAATAATGGACACTGCATCACTCAGCTGCTTCTGGATTGCTTCTGGAGAGTGAAGCATCAAGTTCACAATAAGCTGTTTGACTGCTTCTCGATCCTGTATATGAATTCGATCTCCTGCATCATCATCCTGGAATGATATTCACATGTTCTTATTATATTGTGGTATATGGGCCCATTACTAGGCAACAACCATGAAACAAACAAGACAGTGGCAGTTGCTAGGCAGCAGCCAGCATGCAGTACTGTTGGAAGCAGTGTTTTCCATGTGGTCCACTCAAAGGGTATATCATGCAACTGACAGAGTTCAGTTCAGTAAGTACAGTGGAATGAAGAGAGATGATTTGTGAGCAGTCACCTAGACTGCTGCAATTCGGTCATTGTGAACTGTTCCTGTTAAAGCTGATAGCTGAGGCATGGTGATAGTCCAGGAACACAGAGTAAGGGGAACATTTGCCATCAAAGGCCATTACCAGGCAATGACTGCTGAAGAAACAGCAGGCTGAGAAGACTTAGTACATGCTGTAGTGAACTGCAGAGTGTGTGAATTAGCAACAGTGCTATAGTTTCTTGGGACCACCTCTGTGGTCTAGTGGTCAGAGTTCCTGGCTACAGATCCAGGGGTCCCATGTTCGATTCCTGGCGCTACTAGATTTTCTGAGAAGTTGTGGTTCTGGAACGGGTTCCACTCAGCCTCGCGAGGATAGGTGAGGAGCTATTTCAAGGAAATAGCGGCTATGGTCTAGAAAACCGAGATTATTGGCTGTGGGGATCTGTTGCACTGACCACATGACACCATCTACCTGCAACAGTTGGTACTAACTTTGCTGACAAGCAGTGGTCGCTTGGTCGGTACAGTTTGCTTGCGGACTACAGGCCACGGAGTTGTTTTATTTTTGCTATAGTTTCTTGCAGTTAGGATATATAAGTATTCAATAAATCCAATTACCAATCCAAAACCTGTTTACAGTCATTTATAAACATAACAATATAATACTGGAACTCCTGTTTACTAGTCTAGATCATGGTGGTATAACCATTATATCTGTAACAGGGGAAACTTCACTGCCTAATGTCATAAAAATAAAGTCATGATGGTATAAAATACATCTGACATGGAAGAAATGTCACTATCACAGTTTTAGTTAAAGTTTAGTTCCACAGTTGTGGATTTATTTGCATTAATGTACTGTTATGGGAAGCTGAAGAAGGAGCAGGTAAAGGGCATTTCCTGGCTGGTATGTGCCTCCAATTCAATCTAACCATTCGGACTTCCCCATTCTAGATGGTTCCAGAGACTACTGAAGGCCACTGGCACTCGAGGAGGTATGAAAGAATTCTCAAAGGGTGGCACATATACGTAGGGCAGTCAAAAAGTTCCCGGAATTCCCCTGCAGATGGAGAATGAGCGATAAAATAGCGCACACACTGTTGTGGTGGGGAGCTCAGCACGTCTGCTCACAGGCGCAACAGGTCTGGACAGGTTTCAGCATGCAGTGCCATTACTGTTCCATTTGAATTAGATGTGTGTTGGTCATTTGGTGCAATGTCACAGTTCGAACAGCATGCGTACATCAATTTCACATGCAATTGGGAAAATCTGCTTCAGAGATACAATCAGCCCTGCTGCAAGATTACAGTGATACTGCACTAATGAAATCCGCAGTTTACGACTGGTTTTCCTGGTTTAAGAATGGGCAGGAGACGTTAGAGGATGACCAGCGCAGTGGGAGATCTTCGACATCCAGAACCGAAGAAATTATTGGAAAAGTGCAACAACTGATTCGATGTGATCGAAGAATGATCATCGTGGAGTTTGAGCAAGAAGTTGGTATCTTTCATGGATCCATTCATGCCATTTTGTCTGATGATTTGAAGATGAGATGTGTCAGTGCGAAGTTTGTTCCAAGGCAGCTGACCACGGATCAAATGGAATGTCTCATGATGGTCGCTGGAGATCTGTTTGACAAAAGTGGACCTGACATTTCTCAAAAAGATCATCACTGGTGATGAGTCACTGGTGTTCGCCTACGACCCAGAAACGAAGATGCAGTCATCAGAGTAGCACACAGCTTCGTCTCCCGGCCAAAAAAAATCATGCCTCATCAGATCCAAAAACAAAGTGATGCTCACTGCATTCTTTGACGAGGACGGTTTGGTGCACCATGTTACTGGCCATTTCTACGTGCAAGTTTTGCAGAGGTTGTGCAATGCGGTTTGGAGGTAGCAGCGTGACAAGTGGCAGGGACAGTGGTTTCTGCATCATGATAAAGCACTGAGCCATACATTGCTTGTTGTGCAGCAAAGAAACTAGCAAGAAGTTGGCAGCACACAAAGTCCATGAAGAGTATTATCTCCTCAGATGTAACACCATGTAGTCCAGCAGAAGTTCACTGACATAACTGTCATAACAGTAGGAAGGAGGCAGCAAGCAGAACCTTCTTATGGGATGTAACATCCTACAGTCTTGTAGAAATTCACTGATATTTCAGAGGAACATAATGCCTCCACTTTCAGTGTCAAATGGTATACCAAGCAAGAAACTAGAAAGAAGCAGAAGCAAGCAGAGCCTGTGGCATTGCCTTTCTGTTAGGTCTGACAGCCAGCCCTGCAACAACTGATTTTCTTTTCTGTCAGATCACTGACTGAGTCAGGCAATAAAGAGAAAGTTGTCTATACGTGTATACAGCTTACGTCCATGCTCTTCCACTTTATCTGTAAAGTGCTTTAAAGTTGCATGTGTTGCTGTCATATCTGTGGTTACATGTGACCTGTGTTTCCCTAACTAGAAACCGTATCATATGTTTAGTCAAACATGTCCATTATTTATAAATTTTTAGTGGAAAACAAACATGTTCATTAGGTATGTTATATCTGATAATTATTCTCCCATTGAAAAGTACTGTAACTTCATCTGCAGATGTTCAGAAGGGGCATCATTCCACAAGTGGAAAAAGTGTCTCATATTCTGTAGCCTGTCACAGTTTGAGGCATTATTGTCATGAACACTGCCACTGTTCGGAAAGTAGAGAAATCTGAGAATGTGAAGGAACCTGTCATATCTCAGGGTTTTGCCATAGAAAGACAAAAAACAAGTTCAGTAATCAATCAACAGTCTTTTAAGTTGCCGTGTGTCATGTCCCATCTGCATATTAACTGTTAGAAACAGACACATTCCAGATTTAGTGATGTCACATACTGAAGAAGGTCCATCATCAAGGAATCCTATACTGCTGATAGTACAAATTGGTCTCCCCACCCCTAACAAAAGGATAACAGCCACCAAAACATAACATGTGAACACTGTATGGCGTAAAGTCTTTATTTATATGGTGGGTGATACACTGTCTTTTGTGAACTGATGGAAACTGCGGCTTGTTCCGCCCATCACTTGTTCCTACTTTGACGCTCCTCACAGTGCAAATGGGGTTGGAATCAGCTCACTGCCAGAACTGTCACCTACAATGTCATTGTGGATACTCCTGTCTGACTGGCCCATTGGTCATCCTCATTTGTGTGCTCCCCAGAGGAGTGGAATTACAGGTTATTGTGTCATATAATCTTCACCTCAATAGTTTCATAAAAAAGTTCCTCAGCTGCCTCTCATACACTATCAAGTATTCGATCACTTCTTTGTCCAAGCACTGCCTTTTGAAATTTGTGATGTCATTTTCCGAGCATGTGGTGTTAGGAATAAGAAAACTTTAAATGCAGGTTAGAGAGACTGAAGTACAATGAGCTGGCGCTGCTTGTTTCTTATCTCAGCAACCCCCACTAACAAAGTCTCATAAGTAAACTTTATTGTATGATATTCCCACACTATCTGTTCTAAGGACAGCAGAATTATTGTATGGAAAAAGCTGCAGTTATGTTTATGCCCAGCAAATTGTGCTGACAGCAGTTCCAAAGCTACATTGGGAAGAAGCAAGCATCATACTTCACGTCTATGCAATGTACAGTTGTCAAAAGTTTCTGGCTCTTCTCAGGACTAAAAGTGAACATGTGAAAACAATGAAACTTGTTAAAAGAAACATGACTTTTTATTGATATCTGGTAGTTGTGGTTGGTTGGTGGTTGTGCCTGAACAGATATACAAATGAACCATCATGACCTGAAATAAAGGAGACCACCATATTAATTTTAAATTTAAATTTAAACTTTTATTTTACTACATTTTACAATCATCAACAAACAACGATAACTTACAAAACTAGAACAACAATATTAATTTAAATGAATAACCATGACCTGAAGAAAGTAGAGAGCACCATATCAATTTTACTTTTTAGAATTAAAATGTCTCCCACGAACGCTGGTCATAATGTGCCGTAGAATGTTAACAAGCATACTGTAATGATTATCAATATATGAAGCAACTACTGTCCCACCATCAGTATCCACTTATGCTCTTCAGATTAGATTTCTATTCACTTGTTACTTCATAGGAATGCCACTGCTCACTCACTGACTGGCTTGCTTGCTCACTCGCTTCCTCTCTCAACTTCTTTGCACTGCACTGAATCAAACTGAAAACTGACTTCTCTGCACTGAACTGCAGAAGCTAGCTGACCATTCTCTCACACACTCATGTGTTCTACAATGCACAAGACTGGACCTTGTGAGAACTCGATGGCTACTTTTATAGGCATGACACCAGTCAGGAAGTTTCTAGCAAGTTTTGGGGTAACTGTGGCCTTTGGCAGCACCATGTGGCTTCCCAAACAATCCAGATGTTATGAGAGTTGTGCATAGGAGAAGCAATGTGAACCCCTTGTACTTAGCTCCCACAACAATACACTGACAATGTGAATGGTTAAATAAAGTCTAAATACTAGATCATCACTTTGAATTGTGTAGGAGACAGAAATTCAATTAAGAGGTTATATCATACACAACAAGATGCTACAATGCAGATATACTAATATACAATTTTAAACCAAATACAGTGCAAAAATGTGCAAAACTTATAAAAATAATTTCAGTTGTTCAACATGCCAAATTCAGGATTCTTAGAAACAAAAGTTTAATAATTACCTAATTTAACACAAAATAAAAGTCTACATCATTACCATTCTTACATATTATCTTTTCTTATACCATCATAGCAACAGAATCCTTCCAGATTTAGCTTATTCACACAATTTTGTAAATAGTATTATCATGTGTTACTGATTAAAAATGGGGTCTGGACAGAAGGCTTATTACTCATAACAACAATAGCAGGCCACAAATCTTCCAGCTCTAGTATGCGTTTATTATATAAGCATGATTATAAGCAATGTATCCTTCATGCAAGTATAATTAAAACTGGATGATCGAGAAAAAAAAAATATTATTATTAACATTACAACTGAATGCAGCATGCATTTATGTTAAACCTGGGACATATGCTTGACAGTACCAGTATGAACACTGCACTCACCACTTTCCAATTGCGTTTGATATAATTTTTGAAGGCAACAGCACCTGCAACTCGTATTGTTAGGTGGACATCTTGTTTGTCAACCAGATGTAATAACAGCAGAGGGTAGTTCTGGTTGACTTCAACTGATTCCAGAAATTTCTCAGCTGAAGAANTAAGATTAAGAGTCTGCTAAAAACTTTCGAACGTGGCGGAGGTAAAACCCGCGATTATACTTGCGTCTTAAGCTAAGTAATTTGAGCAAGTGCAAAACCGGCTGCTTGGAAGCCGAAACTAGGCCTGATAGTGTAGATTTAGACTCCGAGTGACTGTGAGAAAACAATAAAGTGTTCCAGTAGTACAGTGCATTGTGTTGGTCAGAAGTGCTTCACCCTCACTTGCCCGAGCCTGACCCTTAGCCGACCTGAGGAGAGACTCATCGCCAGGAGCTAGTCACACCCATCGCCAGCTTCCACCCACTANATAAAACATGCAATGTCCTTGAATAATTCTAGGTGACTAATATTCATATGTACTAATGGTTAATAATATGATCATTGTAATAAGCAAACTAAATTATGACTATGGCTCCAGAAAAACAAATTAAATTTAAAACCCATGCAAGAAAATTCTTGCACTCAGTGCAAGCTTATGAATCAGTGACAAGAAAGAAACTGACAATTTGGTTAGGCAGCTACATATCCATTTTGTATTCAGGAGGCTCCAGTTCCANACAATACACTGACAATGTGAATGGTTAAATAAAGTCTAAATACTAGATCATCACTTTGAATTGTGTAGGAGACAGAAACAATATTAAAANCTTAGCCCCTTCTTGGAAATTTGGGATAGTAGTTAAACATAGGCCTACATCATTTCCTGCCAATCCATCCCAATTCATCAGTCATAATCACCCTTCCATTCAAACCTATATACCTTATGCATTTAACAAAACATCTTCAACTCATATAACTGGTGCACTGCACAGCCGTGCCAATGCATGCACTGCATTGTTTACAAGTTAAAATCTAGTCAATAAAGGTACAAAAAACTAAACACATGAAGAAAAGAAAAGTTACAGCCTATTTGCAGGTACTGCTCAGTACCTGTCCGGAGAGACAAAAAAGAAAAATATCTTGTCTGTAGTAGCAATTACAAATTTTATGTTCTTATTTAGTGCATCTTTCCAATAAGCTGAACACTCCTCTTACTACCTTACTACATCCCAGCAACAGCCTACCATCAACTGAGTACTACATGATATGGACACAGAATGACTTGAGCCGAGGACAAGAAATAAATGCTATGAAACAACTCATTCTCATATAAGCATACCTACAATTTTAGTTCAGTCTCTCAATAAGACTACAACTGTATTGAAACAAGACCTCGAGGAGTGTATTCTTTTCTGACGTCACCTTATTACTCAAACACCATACTACAATTCAAGGTAACTATAACACCAAATGTTCAACAAGTTATTTCACAATCGCGCCTCTCATATTAACAACTCTCACTACTCTGTAAAACTGTTCTGCTCTCCATGCGGCTTCCACAGGCTACTCTCAACACACATTCTGCCCTCTGTAGGCTTCCACTGTCCTCTGTCGACACACACTGGCTTCTCTCAACACACACAGCCATGCTCGGTCCTCAGGTGGCTTCTTATACTATTTCCTGTTGCCCTAGCAGCGGCAGCAGCGTCTGCTATTACGTCACAGAGGGGAAGTGTTTCCTAACACAGCTACTCTGCTGTTGCATTACCACTGAGCAACGTTATTAGCAACGCGTGCATTATCGTGACGTGCTGAATCTACGATTCCTCACATCCTCCCCACCCTGATCAGCTGTACTGGACGACTGATTCTCATTGTGTATGGTTGTCGAAGGATAAGAGTCCTGATCTGGTTGTCTCTTCCTAGACACAATTCTTCAATCCTAGCCTTCTTCCAGATGTGCCTTGGCTCACTAACACCAGAAGTTTCCACCAGCTTCTCCACCAAGCCACATGTGCCACAATAAATTTCCAGTGTATTCCAGTCTCGAGGCCGCCCCCCTCCATAATGAAAATGAGGCAGGAGTGCTTCATTCCACTCTCGAGAGCCCCCACCGTAATGCAACAAGGCTGGAGTGCTTCAATCCCATTCTCCCCCCAAAGCAAACAGCGGGAGTCACTTGGTGTTCGCTGTCATGTCCAGGCAAAGTTCCAGGGTGTGTCTTTAGTTTCTTTTCTTCCTTTCTACAACCGCTTATTCACTCTCCCCTTCTAATCAGTAGAGGCTATAACTCCAGTAGTGGCCGGGCTCCCCCATATCTGGCTCTTCTTATGCTAATGCTGCTTCTTTTTTCTCTTCAGAGGGGGTGGACCCCTCCACAAGGTCCAATTCTTCATTCTTCGTAACCCAACAGACGATCCGGCTGCTCCCTTCGTGAACTGCAGTCCAAAAGCCTTCCTGACGAGCTCATCTGCTCGCCTCTCAATCTTCCGACGCAGTGGCCGTCTTGTGCCTGGGTTCTTTAAGTGCTTGCTGCCTCATAGCTGCTGTTTCAGGACTTGAGTCCCTTATGCCATTGTTGCTTTCCGGGCATTTCCACAGTCTCTTCTCGAACGTCAGTCCTTTTAGGCTTCTTGGTATGACATCATCGTTTTGTCCATTACGCCTGTGTTCTGCATAGCAGATAACCTTCCTTCTGGCTGCAGTCACTTCCTCCAGTGGGCCACAATTTCCGTAGATCAAAGATTTCCGGAAGATTTTCTTCTTGAGCCATGCCACTGTCGCACTGCGGGACACCTTCCTGCAGGCAACAGCCAATATCCTCAAAGATCCACAATCTCCTCAGGTCAGTTCCTTTGGCTCTTGCAGCTTGCTTCTTGTCCCTATGCCGCTTCTTCCGTCCAACGACTGGTTTCACTATGGCATTTTCTACAGGGACCTCCTGTTGTGCCACCTCAGGTTTTCTGTCCAGTGAGGTCGGCTTTTTTTCTTCCTGCAGACATGCCTCCGTTGTTTCTCGGCAGGCCATCGTCTTTTTGTCTGTTTCGGGTTTAATTTCGGCCACCATCTCCTTGTGGCTGGTGGCCAACTATTCTCACCATGCTTTACTATCTGCGTCCACCTTCACCTGGTTGGTGCCAAATTTTGCCAGCATTTCTTCTTTGGTCTTTAGTTTCTCAATGCGCTCCTTCCAATCCGTCACTCTTTTACAGTCTTTGGCCCAATGACCATGAAGTTCGTAAAGCACCGAGTTCGCTAATGGAGGCCGAGCGGAAATCGAGGCGGAGGGCCCTTCCGCAAAGTTAGGCTTCTCTCCTGTCGAGACGAGTATGTTCTCAATCTGCTCGCTTGGCTGAGTCGATGTATTCTTCAGACATCTCCACATCAGTCATGTATTCACTGTCATCCAGAAGATCCTGGGTATAGTTATCCAATGAAATTAGTTGATCCAGGGTCTCCCGTAGACGGCCTCGGAAGTACTCATAATCAAGTGTGGGGCTGGCGGTGGATTCAGTTATAAGGGTAGTGAACCTTGTCGCTTTCATCCTTGCCATGGAACGCTTCTTCTTTAGCCTTTGGAGTTCGATATCTGAGTTGAGTTGTGAGGGTTTCTCCAAGTACGATCTCACAAGCTAGTTGGTCATCTGTATGGGGTCTGTTGAAAGTCAGAAGACAGAAATATCGACAGAGCCAAATTGAATTCAGCGACCATGTGCGTGTTTTCTCCTTTCTCTCTTGTTCTGGATAAACAATCTTTAGAAGGGAGTAATGTGGCGTGCTGCCTGGAAACCGGAATGGTTGAGATCACGGTTCATTTCCTAGGCAACAAGCAACGTTCCCGCTACAACGCTACAATAGGAATGCATCCATTACTATACAGCGGATAGCAATTCCTAATAGTGGAGTTTCCACCGTTATACACAAATTGTTGGAGCAGCTTTTGCATAGCAGCAGCGGAGGTTAACCCACATGATGGACATGATGAACCTGGAGCAGATGATGCGTCAGCTCCTGGTCAACCAGGCAAAGGTGGAAGCCGACAGAAAAGCCTGGCAAGAATAGATGGACATCGATTGCAAAGCTTGGCGAGAAAAGATTGCCGCAGAAATGAAAGCCATCCAAGCAAGAACTAAAGTCATGCAAGACAAAAGTATGGACATAAGCCACAAGGAGGTGGCTGAAATCGAACCTGAAAAAACCTCAGAGACGATGACCTGCCGAGAAACGATGGAGGCACGTCCGGAAGGGAAAGAGCTGACCTCACTGGACAGGAAACCTGAGGTGGCACAATAAAGAGATGTCACTAACGAAGACGCAAAATGATGCCGGTCGGAGGACAAAAGAAGAGTGGGAGCCGAAACCGCCGAAAGAAGGAATGGGCTTCAGAAACAGGATGGGTGTCGAAAGAAGTTGGCCATCGGCCTCATGGAGGCAACATGGGAAAAGTGTGGATCCAAAAAGAAATTGGCCGTCACCTGCAGAGAGACGACCCGCCATGTGAAAGCGGCATGGCAGAAGGAAAACTTCCGTTGGGAGAAAACGCACCAGGGCCATGGTTGAGCGTGCAACCCAGAGAGTAGGGCCACTCAGGAAGAATTTCCAGATGCACCATGAGGGAAAAAGAGGAACAAAGGATCTAGGTGGCAAGCGGCCGCTATAAGTGGGAAAGAAGGGTGCAACCGTGGTCCACACTGGAGGATGGAGCTTGGGACAGTCATCACCTCTGAGGAGGAAGAGGACAACCATAGACGGCATTCAAAGTTGAGCGCAGGAGAGCGAACACTTCTGGGAAGCGGAGGAACACTCAAGAAAATTTTATATAAGCTCTCCGTTTCAAAAATCACGAAATAAATGCCCAAGGCTTCCAGCAGGACGCAGAGCATCATGGACTGGACCTTGTGGAGGGGTCGACCACCTCTGAAGCGGAAAAAGAGACGGCAAGCAGAGCAGGAGCTGGTAATGTAGAAGCACCGGCCACCCCAGTTAGAGTGACAAGGTCACACTGCCACTGACGGTCAGTCAGTCAGTAAGTCTTGGTTCCAAGCATCATCTGGAGCTCATGACCAAATATCTATCACTGTTTGACAGTTATGGTCTTGTTCCTGTGGGGCGCCCTCTCTAACGAGAGGATGGGTCTGTATATGCTGCTGGACCTTGCCAGCGCAGTCTTTCTCGGGTCCGAGTCCCTTGGTACTCGTGACCATATTTTACTGTCTCGGATTTGAGACTTCCATTTTCATCTCCTCCTATGAGTCGCAGGGTAAGGGTGAAGGTATTCAATCCTGCCTCAACAAGGGATTAGACAGAGTGACAGAGTGAGAGAGAAATATAAAGAGAACGAGAAAACCTCTAGACGATGAGGAGAACCTGGAGTGAGTGGAAGTTTAAAATGGAGCTGCGCGGCCAGCGCGTAAGGCTGATAACCTTACCGCCATCTTTGAGCCGACTGTCTAGATAATGTGGGACCCTCAACGTCCCACAACCCTATGGGCCTTCACGGCCTGTTACAGGGATAGCTTTACTTTTACTTTTTTACTTTTACTCCAAGTAAGGACCCTAAATAACGTAGTTCTGGTGACATTCCCACCTCAAAACTTCATGTATCCAAACATGCTGCTATTACTCACTGAAGGAAATTAAAATACACTGTGGTATTCACAAATGGCATAACATAACATTCATCTACAGTTTCATGAAACAATATTTCAATTAATTCAAAAGATAAAGGGGTGGGGGGACACAGAACCACAGAGACACACAAAAACCGCACAAACCTACTTTTCTCCTTAAGGAAAGGAAAGTAGAGTAAAATAAACCGCGGAGAAACGAACCAAAACAATTTAAAACTGATATATTTTGATACTGTCACGTGTTGGGTATGTCACACGACAAATAACTTTACGTGGGTCTCAGATTTAGCGAATCTTTATTGTGTTTCACTTATACACTCACACGCTTTACAATTATTATCACTTGCAGTATCACAATTACTGCTTCCACAATATCTCGGCCAATACTAGACTGCTTTCAGTGGCGGCCTTCTGAAGACTGTCTTCTGTCTAACTAGCTCTGTAGTTCTCGGCTTATGTAGGTGTTCTGCAGACTGGATATGAGACACCATTCCTCACTGTTTCGTTTCTACTGTCCGCTGTTACGTAACGGGCGCAACAAACTCTCTGTGGTTCATTTCTGGGGAGACGCGTTCATTGCTTCTGCATTGTCTACGCAACGGCTCCCTGTTCTTTGCATTATCATGGAAGTACCTATTCCAAACTCACATGTTCGGCAATCCGTTGCCTCGGGAACGCTCCTTCGCAACAGTCTGTTTGTATTCAATTTGTCGCTGTTGGAACTCAACAATTTCCACTGTAGCTGTTGCGCGGCGATGGACGTAAGGTAATGCGTCACAATATTTTCCCATTAGATATAACACACTGTTTATTCCCCTCCAATTCTTACTTCTGTTCTAGCCTATGTTTAGTCTTTAATAGTAATATTTTCTAGCATATAATGTGTAGTCAAATGAAAGTCAACTGACATTTCAGAGGAACATGTCACCTCTACCTTCTGGGCCAAAGAATAAGTCAAGCAAGTAACCACAGAGAAACAGGTAGCAAGCACGGCTCAGCCCAGATTACACGTACAGTAAAATCAAGGCAATAATCAGTATTATATTTGATGGGAATATGTAACAAATAAGGGGCTGGGATAGCTCAATCAGTATAATGACAGACTATGGGCTGAATGGCCAGGGTTCAATTCTTGGCAAGGGTAGGAGATTTCTCTCTACCCCAAGCATCTAGACACTTTTCCTGGGTTATAGAAGCCAGAGTATGAGGCTGACCAATCACCTCCATCTAGCACCAACGTCAAGAATGGAAGAATTATACCACAACTCCCCCATACATAGTTATGGCGTGGTGCTTAATTACTAACAACAAACACAATTTTAGCTTTACCTTTCACCTTTATACTACGTATATGCCAGCTAGAGTAAAATTTAGCAGTACAAGTAATGCAAAATAAAAACTTTTACAAAGTTAATAGAGAGTCCGTCGAGTGTAACAATTGCAAACGAGTGCAAATTGTTACACTCGACGGACTCTCTATTAACTTTGTGATTGATAGTGTAACGGACCAAAATGAAACAATTAAAAAAAAAACTTTTAATTATGAACACAGATTTTGGTGAAAACAAAATAAAAATTATTTTGTTATAACTCATTTAAGTAGAATAAAGTAGTCAAAAAATATTCCACTGTCCATATAACTTTAATTTTTATGGAGAAAGATTCCCCACTGCAGATCTTCAACAAATTACATATTAATCACTGTGCGATCTGGCGATTTCAACTGATTGTTAGCTGTGCAAAAACAAATAAATTAGTGAAAATAAGAATTTTCTGTTGGCATAAATTAAACTCACCAGGTCTCCTGACATTAACATCGGGGCTGAGTGTATGTTGGAGGTAATCTGAAAGGGTTCGCAAGTTGTCATCTGTTAATTCCATACCTACAAAGGATCAGAGCAAAAGAATTATGTACACTAGAAAGAAAATGTAAACTGGAGACACATTACTAGCGAAAAATTTAACACATTATAAGTATTAATGCTGTCAAGCGTAATTTTTTGTATAATGCTGTGTAATGGTGGCATACATTCTGGGTAGAGAGATGTGTAAATAGAAAAGTCCTAGGGCATTTAAAAATGATGGTCTCCTGATCCAGTAAACTCATATTACAGTCAGATATTAGTGGCATCCATAGTCTAGGGGTAACGTTCCCACCTCGTGACTCAAGGTACGCGGGTTCAAACCCGGCGGAGGTCGTGGAATTTTTAAGGGCGGAAAAATTCAGGGAACAAGTCCTCCGGGAGGGACTTTAAGCCGTGGGTCCCGTGTCATAGCTTTATGGCACGTAAAACAACCTCATGTCCCAAGGGGACCTCTGAGCCAAATTCAGGACATTTCCCGCCCAACAGTAGTCTCTAACGCCTCTGGTAGATGGGGGAAGCATCAAGATACCGCTGAGCCAGTAGAGGCCAAACTCGCTGGCTGAGTCGGGACTGATGGCACGCACTAATACCGGTAGGGTATAGAGACTGATCGAATATCACAGGGGGATGCACAATGGACCATGGGGAAACCCACCCTCTCCAATAACAACAACAACAACAGTCAGATATTTAAATAGCCTCCCATATATCACTGAACTGCTCAAGCAGGAGAGTCAGATACTCCTTCTCTCAAGTTCGGCTTGTGGAAATTTGGACTTCTGGCAGAATCAACAAACCTATAGGCAAAATATATTATGAATAACCAGATAAAGCAGATATTTGAAATGGTCGTTATTGTCATTGTTAGGAGAATGTTGAAGTCTGGCAATGTTTTCACCCAACTTCTCTTCAATTTCACTCCAACTTATTACCGAACATCTTCCATCAAGCGAGCTTATGTACACTGTCCTGGTGGCGCCAATCCTTTCTGCTGCTGTGCTTGTGGTTCTCTTGTGCAACAAGCAAACCTTCACTCACTCACTTTATTCATGTTCTAAATCCAACGTGTTCGATTTAAAGTGAAAAGAGCATTCATGCATGATACCTAAGAGAAAAGTAGTTCTTTGAGAAAAGAAGAAGATTCCAGTATAAATTTTATGATGTCACAGTTCCACATAGAAAACTATTAATGTAACTGTAATTAAACCAAAACTGAGGTCATTACTGGAAAGCAAAAAAC